GTCACTCGGTGTCACTCGGTGTCACTCGGTGTCACTCGGTGAAGGAGGCGGCCCTGCGGCGACTGCGCCTGCACCCGCAGCACGTCGGCTACTGGTGGTCCAACGAGTAGCCGCGAGACCGCTTCCACAGTCCCTTGAAGAAGCCGCGCTTTTGCCGCGAGCCCTCGCCCACGTCTTCTGAAACATTCGGGAGAAGGCAAGAGTTAGTCCCGCACAACCAGGAAACAGGAAAAAGGCTGCTGCGACTAAGGGATCGCCCAGAAAGTACGTCCGCTTTTCTCAATTTCGTTCGTCACATTTCTGGAGGTCAGCGCCTGCGAAAGCCAGCGTAGGCAACCCAGCAGTGCACGTGTGCTGTGCAGGAAAGACGTTGCCTACCGATCAGGCGCTAGGAGAGCTACCATTTAGCCATTAGCTGAACTGGGCAGTTTGGGAACGGCAAAAGACGGACGTACTTTCTGGATGATCGCTAACAACAAGAACGACAACAATTTTCAAAATACTCCGTCACATGCAATCTCTCATTTTTCAGAACTATCGACAACGAGACAATGCCAGGCAAACCCCCCGCTGGTTTGACATACGGTTTCTCTCTCGTCGGTGCAGCGTCGTCGTGACCCAGTTATCGGCTGCAACGCTCAATCGCAGCCGCCCCACCCAGCCCCGGGCCCCCGGTCTCGGCCCCGCCCAGCTACAGCCAGCCCAGCCTAAAACTGGTTCCCTGGCCTTAACCTTCGCAGGGCCGCCGCCACCTGGCCAGGACCGCTGTGCTGTGCGTTGCCAGCTTCCCCCCGCATTGAATTTTTTGAAAAATTTGTCGAGAATTCTTTTTAAAAATGTATACCTGCACTTTTTCCTGGAAAAGTGTTATTATTTTTCTAATTTTAACCTGAAAACAGATAAGTTACCTTCGGTTTTCTGAATTTAAATAAATAATTCCGGGACTCAAGTCTAGATCTACAATGAGCCAGATCGCTCGCTACGAGGAGGGGGCCTCGGTGCCGTCGGCGCGAACGGGGTGTTGCCCAGAGCACCGACGCGAGGGAACGGCGGCGGCCCCCGGCCTAATCCACAGGAAACAGTTTTATCGCGAAGGCAGATAGGACGGGCTCGCGGAGAGTGATGGACACGCCGCCGAAAAAGAGGAGAGAGCGAGAGAGAGACGAAGAGAGAGCGAGAGAGAGACGAAGAGAGAGAGGGAAATAGAGAGAGAGAGGCGTAAATCAAGATGGAGAGGCCAAACGACTCACTGAACAAAAATATCAGGGGGAAAAAACTAGCCAGGCAATATGGCGTGCGATACTGAGATAGAGGATCTCCTGGAGGCGGGAACCAGCCGCGCAGATCCGGAGCTCAGCCAGGCGACCTGAGCGAGGCGATGCTGCGAGCTGCGCCCGACTCCGCCTAAACGCCCGTTTGCAGGTCCGTGACCTCCGTGACCAGCGGGTGGCCGCAGCTGCAGGTGCAGCGCGCGAGCCGGCCGCCGGGCAGCGGGAGCAGCAGGACAAGGTTGTGTGTGAGGGTCTGTAGGACCCGCGCTCTGCCGTCGAGGAAGGGTCAACCACTCCGATCAGATCGTTTGGCGCCGCGCGGGACCGGCGGCCCGCCGCGCGGGCACAAAAGGCGGGAGTCAGGAGTAAGGCAACAAAAAGCTGCGGGCTTGGCGGGCCTGGTCCACGGCAGGCTACGCCAACTAAGTTGGGCCCCGCCCGGTGCCGGGGTACCTAGCTCAGCCCAGGCTCCACCCCGCGCTGCCGGCGGCGCTAGCGCCAGGGCCAACGGCCCAGACAGGCCAACAACCCGCGGCAGACGCGCTCAATGGGGGAGCAGGGGTGGTGGGGGCCGGGCCCGGGCCCGGGCGGGGTCCCGCTCGGGGGGCAGGGGGCCCCCTCCACCGGCCGGGGCCCCCCATTGACGGCGGGGTGGGTTTGGGGTGGGGGCGCCGCCCGCAGCCGGGCGCAGCCCCGCATGGAGCCCCCTCAACCCGTCCCTGTTGCGGACAGGTTCGCGAGCCTCTCGGTGACGGCAAAGGGGTGCTCCTCGGGCGTGGGGTGACGTGACACGCGATTGGCGTTGCACTCCTCGTGCAGCAAAGGGTTGCATTCCCTCCGGCCTCCCGACAAGAGCGCCGAGAGCCACAGCAGCAAGGCGTGCGTCGGCACAGAGAGAGTGTTTCCCTGGATGAGATGAGAGGGGTGCTCTTGGGGCCACGCCCCGGCGGCTGCGGTGGGACACCTCGTGCATGACGTCACTTTGGCGGTGGGGTCCTCGCTGGCGCATAGCGGCGCAAGGCGCAGCGCCCGTGGGCGGGGCGGGGAGGGGAGGGTGCAGGCGCGGTGCGCCCCGCCCCGTCACTCGGTGTCACTCGGTGTCACTCGGTGTCACTCGGTGTCACTCGGTGAAGGAGGCGGCCCTGCGGC